TACAAGCAAAGATTTATTTATTGCAAATACCTTTTATAAAAAACAAACAGCAACTATCTACATGAACCTCACCTAATGGGATACACACGTATAAGCTGATTTTATCTGTGGAAAGAATCCATAGAGAAGCTCAATATCAACTGTGAAAACTAGGCTTGGTGCTGACTGTGGAACAGATCATCGACTGTAAGTTCAGACTTAAGATAAAGAAAATGAAAACAAAGCCCCAAGTACAAAAATATGGCCTGAGTCTATCCCTCCTGAATTTTAAAACCACCTCAAGAACAGGTTTGAGGTCTTGAAGCTTAATGAAGTAAGACCAGATGAGCTGTGGGATATTAGCCATGAAGAATGCAAAAGGTAGAGGAGGGAAAAAAAAGAGAAAAAAAAAAGCTAGAGGAGGGAAAAAAAGCCCGAAATGGATGTCAGAAGAGGTTCTGAGTATTTCACTAGAACACCAAGAAGCTAACGCAAAAGGGAAAAAATCAGGAAGTACAGGTGCTGTCACAATTAGGGTAAGTAAACTACTCGTTAGGGAACGAAAGGCAGGCAGTTTGGATCCACCAGCTGTTCTGATGGAGAAAGGTGGGTAACCTATTTCTGTGCAATTTACAGCCTCTGAATATTCACAGGAGAGTCAGTTTTGAGTTGGCTCCCACTCGATGGTAATTAAGGGTTTTGCTTTGTTTGGGGTTTGTTTGTTTTTTTCTTTTTTTACTCACTATAATCTCAGCCCAGCCTTAAAGAAAACTTCTATTTATTTTCTTGATTTTATTCCCCTAAGTCAATTATTTTCAACTACCTATTTTCTCTGTCTGAAAATGAATACTGGGAAGATTAACAGCAATTGGTCAATGGGGTAGGAAAGACAAAGCAACATCCCAAGTCAGAAATGAATGCTTTTGCTATTGTATAGCAAGACCCATTCATGGGAAAATGTTAGCTTTGTTGTTATAACAGACTGCTTCCTACTTGGGCAAACAAAAATAAATCACAGGAAGAACGGAAACAATCCTGGAGACCACTCTACTTGAAAGGTAGTAAGAACACACTGAACACTTCTAATGGGTACTCTGGCTCTGCTGAAAGGCTTCATGGCCACCACCAAAGCAGTGCAAGTGGACAAAGTTTCCTTAGAGTAAATAAAATGGATTTTAATTATTAACACATTAACAGGTAATTTCGAAACATAAGCAGAAACTATTTCACCAGCAATAATAAACTCACATGCCAGCCAGGATGCATCCCACAAGGAGGTTATTACTCAGGCTCAGCAGAAAAGCACTAGGGGATAGGTGTCCTTTTGGTTCCACTGACTATGTAAAGGTACCTGATTGGGTGGGACCTAACAAATTATGGATAACACACAGAAGAATGGGAATCCCAGAGCACTTGACTGTGTTCCAGAAAAAGCTAAACACAGACCAAGAAGGAGTTGTCCAATCAGAATGAGGGAGCACTTATATGGTTTAAAACTGGGATAGGGTATGTGAGGGTTGTATCTTTTCTCTATACCTATTAAGTTTGTATGCGGAATAAATCAATGGAGACGCTGACTATATAAAGAAAAATGTGGCCATCAGGAGTGGAAGGGGACTCATCAACAACCTGCATTGTGCAGATAATACAACCTTCCTTCCAGAAGGTGAAGAAGACTTGAAGCACTTGCTGCATACGATAAAAGATTACAGCCTTCAATATGGATTACATCCCAACATTGAGAAAGCAAGCATCTTCACCACTGGACCAAGAGGAAACATTATTGTAGATGGAGAAAAGACTGAAGTTGTTAACAATTTCATTTTACTTGGATCTACAATCAAAACACAAGGCAAGAGAAGTCAAGAAATCAAAAGACACAGTGTACTGGAAAATCTCCTGTCAAAAACTTCTCCAATGTGCTAAAGAGCAAGGATGTCAGGTTAAAGACTAAGGTGTTCCTAATCCAAGCTGCATTCTTTTCAGTTGCTTCCAATGCATCTGAAGGCTAGACAGTAAAGGATAACTGAAGAACTAATGTCTTCGAATTGTGTTGGCAAACAGCAATGAATGTACTCTGGACTGCAATAGTAAACAAATCTGTCTTGGAAGAAGTGTAACCATAGTGCTCCTTAGGGTTAAAACTGGTGAAACTTCATTTCACATACTTTGGGCATATTGTCAGGAGAGACAATCTGGAAAAAGACATTAGGCAGAGAAAGGTCAGTGAAAGAGAGAGGCGCCTACAAGAGGGGATGACCCAGTGACTGTAACAAGGGGCTCAAACACGAGCCTGGGTAGGGTTTTGATTTGTTCACAAGGTCAATATGAGTTATAGTAGACTTGTTGACATTTAACAGTAATATCTCAAAGCAAAGAAAAGAAGTGTAATTGTAAAGGAATTATTCTAAATTAAAACAATTATGTGTATATTTTAAAAAAATTACAGAAGCAAGCACAGAATTTATGAAGATAAGTGATGTAAAGATGCTATTTCAGAAATTAATAATAAAATAAACATTGAAACTGGCGGAGCCACTAGTAAGAATCTAATAGATTTGAAAGAATTTGCCATTTTGCAACTTCAACTTTTAGGGTTTTTGTGATATCAGAAAAAGAAATGAAACACTAATAATACTATTACACCAAAAGAACTGTTTTTCAGACTAGATAAAAAAAGAGAAAAGGCTAAATGGGTATATTAATGTTTCATGTAATCAGTTCTGGCAGAAACTTACCATGGACAAGATTTCCTCATAATATAAAAAGACTAAAACAAGTTTTGGTGTGGAGAGTTCTAATTGACTTTATTTATGTCAGCAAGAAGTTGTCAACCAATATCTGATTAGTTAGAGGTAGAGAGAGAATAATTTCTATTATCTTTAAGAAAGAAAAAGAAAACATACCCCACCAGTTTGTTCATAATTGCTTAAAGAACAATGTTTCGCAGTCTGTGCCAATGAAATAAAACTGGACTCTTCCACCACTAAAAATTAGTCAACTATTCAGTTGAGTTATACATTATTTTATTCTGTTTTATAACAACTTTGTTTACATTTGATAGAGAATAAAAGATATCTGATTTGGGGGAAAATGTAAATGACAGAAATGCACCATTATAATCACCAAAATTTTACTAAACGACCTCAGTAAATTTCAGTAGAATTTATCTTTCAATGTTATAGTCCTATTATAATCAACATAATAGCTAATAGATTAAAGTGGTTTTCTTTCAGCCCGACAGAAAAATATAATTTCTGAGTAGAGAAAAACGAGGTACAAGCAGCAGGGCTTACTCACTGCTATAATACTGTACTTCATTTTTAAAAGCAAATACAGTGTCAGTCGTCATTTGATTCCAGTGAATAAACACTTGAAATTCAATTTATTAATCAGTTTTTAAGTCTGAAACAAAAACAAAAGCCTTTTAACAATATTGCCTGGGGGACTAGGTCAAGTCTAATACAATAATAACAATGCAAAGTTTTTGCCAAATTAAGATGGTTAAAACTCTGTTACCAAGGTATCGGAGTTTGTCTTTTTGTTGGGTTTCAATTTGCTATAACAACCGAGAACAGGATTACATATGAACAGAATTATACAGGACTCAATGAAATCGAATATGGGGGATTAAACATTTTTAAGGTCTGCATAATAATTTCTGTTTCAACACCCATTTGGCTGCATAATTCACAATGGCCTAAAATCTTCCAGCAACACAATTATATTAAAAAAATATATCATCATCCCTAGAACTGTAGACTTCACAACCATGTAAGCCTTTTATCATCTTAGAAAGAGACAACTTATCCCTGAAAAACTCTAAAGAGTGATCCTATTTCCGTAACAGTTGTCTTCAACTTTCTTTTATATACAGGATAGTCACTTCTTTATATCATAGTAAACACAGTGAAAATAATAAGTGGGGGGTTTTTTTGTGTTTTTTTTTAAAAGGAGGCTGAGGGACCTGACTCCAATTAGAGCTGAAATACTTTTGAGTATCGGTGGATTTTTATGTTGTTTTTCAGTTGTAACACAACAGAAAAATATAGTTGTTATCCTGGTGAAAAACTTGAGAGAGAACAAACTTCCAAACCCGCTAAAACTATTTTAGTTCTATAGGATTTTGATCCCTCATCAAATAACAACAGCATACAAACTTAGCTTTAAAGAATTCAGTTTTTATAAATGAAAGCACACATAATAAATATATAGGAGATCTCAAAGTAACTTAATTTGTTTTTAAATATTCAAGTGTAATGTTTCGTGAAACATTAAAAAAGGACATTTCCAACTTTATCAGATGTGCCAATTTCCATTTGTTCTTAATCTGCCATTAGTACATAGGTTCAGTGGGCTGCAAAAGAGCCCAGCTGGTGATAGAGACAAAGATGATGTGTCAGTGTGAAAAACGAACGTGGCTGTCACGGCATTCCTCCATAGGTGACGAGACTCACATTTGCATCCCTGAAGTAAGAATGGCCACTTTCTCCAATTAAATTGCTCTATACTAAAGCAGCATTGTGAAGAGTTATTTCAAATCTGTACTATTTCAACACTAAAGTTACCAATTAAAAAGTTAATAAACAGAACAAAACAAAAAAAAAACCCAAATCAATGTACCCGTGATCCCTAAAAATCCTAAAATGTAGAAACATTCTTGGTTTTAAACAAGAATTATATTGGAATGAACTAAAGACATCTTTTAAAGTCATTTTAAGTATACTCTTATCTGTTATTACAAGTCTACATAGATTATCTTAAATTTCTTGTGGACATAATTTAATCGATAATATATCATAATGTCAATCACTACAGTGATCCAGAATCAGATTCTGGCTACAAAGGAAGCTTAATTATTAAGCAAGTCCTTCCTACAAAGCTTCAGTATTTCTGATTCATAAGATTTTAAAAAAAAAAAAAAAGAGCATCTTTTATTGACATAACACTGAAGTTTGAGCGCGGCCCCCTTCTTTGTGTTCAACATAATTAACTCTTCAGAATAAAAACGTGGTACATTTAGTCACATTAATAAATTAAAGTCATCTTCAAGAAAATTCTGCGGGTAACTCTGGTGTTACAATCGTATATCTTGGATCCAACTTTGGGATGAAATCCTGAAAATATTTGGAAGCATCAGTACCAAAAACATCAAGAACCTTTCTATTCATGACAGCAAATCTGTAAAACAGAAGATACAGTGAATAAGTACTTAAAGACATTTTTAAAAATAAAAATCATTCGCATTAGCTGATTTATATTTCATGGAATAGAAAAAAGCCTGGCATGATAAAACACAGAAAATCAGTTACTGATTCAAAGTCACATAGATATTCTTTGTCAGGATTCAGGGTCCCATACTTAATGATATAATCCCCGGCTCTGAAACCCCAGGGATTACCATCACTGTTTCAAATACTTTTAGAGTTATTTCTACTTAGTTTTGTCAGATAGAAAACTAAGTTCATTACAGTTTCTTCTGATGAATGAAATCACAGGAAGCTACATAAACAAATGAGCTAAAATTCAGAGAATGGAATTCAAAGGAGTTGAAAAAAACCAGTATATTTTGGGTTTATGATTTTAAAAAAATACCTAAGTTAAAAAAAACAGTAAATGTAATATCTCTCATATTATCTCAAACTGAAAAATAAATATCCAATGTGTGTTTAAAAAGGCAAACAGCAGGGAGTTCTGGTGGGCTAGTGGCAAGAAGCTGCACTGCAATCCCAGAGGTTTGTGGTTCGAATCCAACAGATGCTCTGCTGGAGAAGGAAGGGGCAATCTCCTCCTATACCAGTCAGATCTGATTTGATGATATACAGAAAAAATAATAAGTAAAAAAAAAAAAGGCAAACAGCATACAGGTTTTCCAATTTCTCAGATGTAAAATATTAAGATAAAAGTTTAAATTAGGCTTAAAATGTCACATAACAACTAATCAGCAATTAATAAAATGATAATAATTTAAAATCCTTTTACTATTTTAATTTTAATATGCAAAATGTTACCAAGAAACTGAATTGAGAAAACAATTCCCTATAAGCCAATATTGTATTTTATTTTTATTAAGTTGGTCATATATGTTTTGTATCATCATAGCCACTTTATTGCTCAATGAATATTCCTTCAATATTCTTTGAAAAAAAGGATTCATGATTCTTTTTATGGAAACTGGTTTTCCCTCCCTAAGGCTATTGTACATAATGTCGCTATGAGTAGCAAGCGACTCAACGGCACATAACAACAACAACAACATGGTCAGTTTAAACATATTAATTTTAAGTAGGGTAATCGCCTCTCTTGCAATTAACTGCCTTTGAAGACTCACCAGAGTGTCAGCTATGGATTGTTTCCACTCTATGGTATACAACAATAACAAGTGACGGACTCAAAATAACATATGTACACTGGTGTTCACTGTAGCATTATTTACAACAGCTAAAAGGTTTAAACATCCCAAGCATATGCATCAACAGATTAGCTATTATAGAATATGTGCAATATTCATAGTAGAATGGGTTATTACTCTGTCACAGACTGAGATGAAGTCTTGATGTTTCCCACAAATGGATGAGCTTTGAGAATTTTATGCGGAGTTGAATAAACTAAAGGACTAATATTTAGGATCCCACTTATATGAAATACCTGCAAAAGTTACATTCATCAAAACAAATGAAGACTAATGATTACTAGAAGATATGGGAAACTGGGACTGAGGCAAAAATCATCATAATATCAACTTAAAATTGGTGAACTGTATTTTATTTAAATAAATCTTCAAGAAAGACTGAAAAATTTAAAAAAATGGACAACTACTTAAAAAAAAAATCTCAATTACTTACTTGCCCTTAGTGAGTCTTAAAAGGAACTTCCAGTAAGATGGTCGCAAAGTCTGAACTTCCATGACAGCCTAAGATTTTTGAATTGGAGACTTCATTTAGTATATAAGAATATTATCAGCAGTTTTAGGCAATATAGTTATTTCTACTGTATATTGTATTTTTAAAAAATATAGTGATTACTAGACATGTACAGATACAACAATAAATTATTGGTATTTGTATGAACAATTATCAGGAATCTTTATAAAAATGCCTTCAAATAGAAATGTTGTTTATAAAAAATTAACGCAGTTAGTGCTCTCTAGTTATAGGACACCTTAACTAAGTACTGATGAAAGAGCAGATTTCACTAGCTATATTAAGTTGTCAATTTAGCAGCATTAATGTAAGAAAGAAGAACTAAAAATGGTTCCCAAATCTGTGTAATAGCCTTAAAATCATTACCATCAATGATAAGGATTGCAGAATTTAAAGAGAATGCAAAAGGTTCTATTAAACTAGATTCTCCTCTCTCCCCCAATACACACCCAGAGTAAAACTAAGGAAGTGAAAATATCTTTATTTATGTCCATGACATATTTTTTCTGGAAGAAGGATAATTAAAATTGAGGCACTATACCCCAGATTCTAGAAAACAATTTACTTATAAACTGCACTTTATTTAAATCCAGAAATAGAACCAATAAGCTAATATGTTCAATGACTTGAAACTTGCATGCTCACCTGTAAGGAAAAAAAAAAACCCTTAAAATATAATAAACAGAAATGTTTTCAAGCTTTCATGCGTCTTCCATCAGAAACAAACAATTCTATAGCTCATTTTAAAAAGCTATACTTACTGCCTGGAAACAAATTGCTGTAGAGATGGAATAGATGATAGTGTCTGCATGAGGAAAATAAGGAACTTTCCCTGCTTCAATGCCTTTGAAATACATTGTCTACAAAACAAGGATAATGCAAGCTTTATAAAGAAAATAACTTAAAGTAGTATTAACAGTATAGTTGAGCAATATGCTCCTTAGTTAGAATTTCCAGCTGCTTTTTTCAAATCCTAACCACCATTCAGAGCTCAAATCAAAGATCACATCCACCACAACAGCATTTCTAAGTCCGTCTTCTAAATCCAGCGGACTGTTCTGTGAAACTCAATAGTAGCTTATTTCAATCTTTTTAATGCCTTTATTTTCCTTTTTTTTTAAAATTATTCATTTTAATGAAAGTTTACAGAGGCTTTGGATTTCCATTCATTCATTCAACGTTGCACTTTTCTCCCTGCCTACACCTCTCCCCCAAATCGCTCTTCTCTTTGAAAAGTAAAAGAAAAATTCTTTCATTATACAATCCCCCCCAGTCCACTCCAGTATGCAGCCTTCATTCTGTACTCCTGTCATGAAAATCATACCTAATCATATATCCCTTTTAAACAGTTCTCTCCCTCATCTGTTTCAATGCCATTTACATTATTTATCTGCCCTTTTCTCAGTCTGCCCCCAACCCTGATGTCAGTCCCGCTTTACAACAGTGGCA